AGAGCTTTCGCTTCGGAGCCTGGACACCACCCCCGTCTGCTACAGGAAGCTGTCTCCAGACCCAGGACAGAGCCAACTATGGATCACCTAACACCAAATCAGACATCCCTTGTTTTCAAGTTTTAAGCAAGAAAGCAAATGTCCTTAGATAATTTGTACTTTAAAATAGTTGCATGCCCGTTACTTCTGGTACGTTAGGAAAGCATGCTGGATTTAACTTAAAACTTCATCAGGACCACCAATACAGTAACCGACCTGGGTATTTTCAACCCTTAAAAAAAAGATTGCATTTGAATGATCATGCTGTCAAAGAATACTGAAAGTATCACAGACTGCCAAAAAGACCAGCAAACCCATCTTAGAAGTACTGCCATACTGTTCCTTAAGAGGCAAGGAGGTGAGACTTTGTCTCATGCACTTTGGGCAAGACCAGTCCCTGAGAAAGGACGTCCTGCTGGGTCTAGGGTCTCGGTGGCATGACTGAGGATAGCTGCAGGCCGATCTTCCTGTGGACAGCGCTCACTCCGCCCACTGCCCCCACCCAATGAAGTGACGTCAGCTCAGCTCGCTGAAGCTGGCTCTGGCCCATTGGAGTTATATCCACACCAACCAGAAAGATGTGCGGGATTCAGCATGTCTCCAAAATGTATAGATGGACCCCCAACATAAATACGGGGGAATGTCCTTTGTTCTCTCTCATGCCTCTCACCCCTGCCACACGGCTGTGGCTCTCTCTGTCTCTCTGGTACCTTCCCAGCTTGGACTCTTTCCTCTGCCCCTTTCCCTTGCAGCAGCAGTGGCTATAGCACCAGAGCCATTTAACTCTTTCCTCACCAAACTCTGTTGTACTGTTAGTGGGTCTATTAAACTTAACTTTCTCTTTCTTTCTGCGATAGCGGCTCTCATGGTGTGGTCTCTATTCCTTTTAGGTTAGCTAATTCTCTGACTTTAGACAAAGGGCCAGCTCTGACCTTTTTTTATGTGGCCATCCTCCACCCCTTTCACCTCTTCTCCTTTGATTTCCTGCTCCCTACAAACCTCACCTTGCTCAGCAAATCATTAATTAAAGGTCTTGCTCCATTGCTTAGCTCTGAAAGACCTAACACTTGGCAAAGTAGAGGGCAGTGGTGGAAAGGCAGGCCCTCAAGGAGATGGGCGGACACAGCGGCTGCAATGGTGGGCGCAGGCATAGGAACCGCGGCGAGGAGGGCGCACGATGGGGCAGCGTTGCGTGCTGTTGTGCATAAGGTCGCTATGAGCTGCAACCGACTCACCGGCATCTAACAACCACAACAAAGTAGAGATACCACACTCTGGGGCAGTGTTGCGTGCTGTTGTGCATAAGGTCGCTATGACCTGCAACCGACTCACCGGCATCTAACAACAACAACAAAGTAGAGATACCACACTCTAAGTAAGAGTTTTTTCAAGTGATTTTCCCACTGTGCCAGCGATGAAGAGCCCCCGCCCTGCACCAGTTTACAGCAGAAGACGGAAATCAGAATCCTCTGTCCACTTTCCTGTTGAAGCAGGGCTGTCTCTCCATGAATGCGCCTTGCAGGACAGGCCCGTGATCGCCGAGGAGGGGAGCAGCAGCAGGCTTAACCATCTCTGCCCTGCGGGGTGCCTGCTGGTGGGAACACAGAGTGGTGCCCCCACGGGAGGAGACAGTCCAGCCGTTTCCTCAAAAGTCCAGCATCTGCTGCCAGTGGGATGGAGCCTGGCACTCTGGGCCATTTGCCCTGAGGAATGAGAGCTTGCAGTGCAGTCGGGCCTCATCTGAGACCTACGGAATTAGAGCCCCCTCCCTTTATTCATAGGAGGAATTCATTTGACTCTGTTGGGTGGAGTACCTACACCGCAGGGCAGACACGAACCCATCAATGGCTCCAGGGAC